GGATTTTCTCAGAAAAGTCCAGAGTTCTTGCACAGCACAAAACAAAAACTATGCTGCAAAGGCAACAGCTCCTCAAACAAAACATGCAAAGATAAAGAAAAAAGAATGTTTGGTGATATTCCCTGCTATTTTCTTGCACGCGGGTTTCCTTCTGCTCTCAGGCTCTTCTTTTTCTTATTGTGAAAGAAGCGGCATATGATAGGGCAATTCCTTATGCGTTTTCTTTCTTTTGTGCTTTTTTCTTTTTTGGTTTTTGCGGGCGAAGCTGCATCGGGTCATCTAGTTTCCTCTTATTTTTACTCTGATCCAATGCTTCCTATTTACTCGAAATTCTTCCATAATCCAGCTGACTGCTCTTCTAATATCATCATGCGGGATCATGGTGAACATCTCTTTTATGTCGGAGGTTCGAACTATGATCTCGCTGTCCTCTCCTAGTTGCATTACCTTCTTGTTTACGTCTCTCATTGTGGGCACGAGATCTTTAGGACAAAATTTGATAACATGGGCCGGGTCACCACAAAACACGCACTGACCCAGGTCCACGCGTTCCTGCCATACACGCTGGTCCAAGCCCAAATCTTCCCATGGCCTGCCCTGCGGCAAGCCTTGGTGCCATCCTCTTGACTGTTGAGGTGGCCTTCCACCTCGTCGTTGCGGGGACCGACTAGGACCCTGACGATTCAGCGGGGGACCTTGACCCCTACCTCCCACTTGGCAGTTCCCTTGTCCGCCAACCCCCTGGGCGCCCGATCCTCGGCCTCCCGTGGCCTGGCCCCTTTGGCCCTGGCCTCCCTCCAGCCGCGACAACCGCATAGGACCTTCCCTGCCCTACGCTGCTGTCCTCCTCCTCTAACCCCCACTCGATCTCACTGTAGGGGACTTTATCAGTACCACCTTCTTCTAAAGTAAGGATCATGTGATCCTTGGCCCTAACTTGGCCCGAGATGGTACGCCCTTTCCACTTCTTCCCCTTATCCAAGTCCTTATGCCAGAAAGTGGATACTGCCATGGACTTTGACTCAAACAGGACCACCTCTCTACTCAGCACATCATATGTGATATCGGCCTGTTGAGACTTGTCAAAGAAACGCCCACGCACGGGCTTTGGCATGGCACGATAAAATATCTGGACCAGTTGGGCCTCATGTGACCCCATGGTCTAGGACGGCTACCAAGTCGTCCATGACACCTTTGAGTGCTCGTGCACTCCTCCACTGTCGTGAGTGGATGGTCTGTAACTTGTCGTAGGCCCTCACGCCTCTCCTTGGGTCAGCAAACCTTTCTCGCAGGAGTTTGAAGAATTGAGGAAGGCGGGTGATCTTGGAATATGCAACCAGGTTGTTTTCACAACCAGCTGCGCGCGCAAGGGACCTGGCAAAACTGGACGCTTCATCCTTGAGGGTCTGGAAGGCTATGAGGACTTGCTCCTCAGTCAGAATATGCTGTAGGTACACATAGGTGTTGACGCTAGCCTCCCAATTATCAAAAATTTCCTCCTTCTTCCCGCCATATGCATCTGGGAATCTACGCTTAACGGGGTTCTTGCGGGGTCTGGCCTCGCTTTCGACGGTGGCTATTGCCTTGGCACCCTCAATGGCGCCTTCCCCACACTATCTTTCAACCGCCTAACTTCGGTCCCAACGTGGGTAACCAAGTCGCGCGCAAAGTCGCGAAATCCTGACCGCATGGCACTCAGGGCCACATCGTGACCCCAGTTGGCTTGGCGCTCTTCCAGCCAAGCCTCACTCAATACCTCCGAGTACCCCAGCATCTTATCCATCTTGGCCGAGACATCTGTCTGTGCGTGCACTTCTTGTCTACATGCCCTCACTTTCTCCACCTCTGTGGTCAACCGATTAACTTCCTCCCTTCTTCTCTTCTTTTCCCTCTTCATCCTCAACTTCCACTCCAGCTTCTTCTCTTCCTCGACCTCTTGTCGTTCCAGGGGGTCATCAATTGTTGCTAGTGCCCTGGCAAACGCCTCCTTCTCCTTTTGTGGCACATACAACTGTGCCTCCTCATCTTCCCCCAACGATAAATTAGCGATCCACTCACTGGTCTTCGTCTCCATCTTTGCATCCTCATTCGCCGTGCCACTACTCTCCCCTTTCTCTTCCCTGCGTCTTCTCTCGTCTTTTGCTTCTGCTGCCGCTTCTTCCTCGGCAGCCTTTTTCTTCTCCTCCATCTCCTCCTCTAGTTTCTTCATTTTCGCCGCCTGCTCCTCTACGATTGCTTTCAATTTCGCTTGCTTCAGGAGCTCCTTCCTCTCTCTATTCTCTTTCACTAAGGCGGCCATCTGCTTTTGTTGAGCCTGGGTATAGGGGCTAGTGCTCTTCCCACTACGGGTGTCAACCATGGTGATTAGTGCACAACCGGATTACCGGTTCCAAACCTCACCACTTAGACTCTAACCCCTGACTGACAAACTTACTGACTCGATCTAAGACTCACAGAATCCGGACAGGGATCTTGTCAACTACGGCCTCTAGCCTAGACCTATTCTAAGGCTGTCACTACTAGACCTGTTGCTGATCAGGAGGCATTTAAGAAGATCCCCTGTAACTCAGGAATTATTTAACGTCGCAAACAGGACGACACGATCAGCAGGTCAGACTGCCTGTTGCGCAGCCCACAACTCAGCCTTTCGGGCCTACCGTGCCACACCGAGCAGCCCGCCGGTCAGTACCGGTCCTTGGGAGGGTTAGGCCTCCGGGACATTCGAGTCGTCAGACACAGTCTTTAGCCCTACTTAGTCCGGCAGGGGTTTGGCCAACAAGGCCCTATCCTTCATCCACAGAGTTCAATCACCTAGACAGAAGAGACTCGATGCAGAAAGAAGAGACAGACAGACTTGACTCAGCAAGTACCACAGGGTGTGTGCACATCCATAGGGCGAGGGAATAGGCTGAAGGCTTGGCGAGAATATACCGGCTCCAGCTTGGTCAAACTTGTGGTCAAAGATCTTGGTCAATGGTCTTGGTCAACGCCTGGTCAACTCTCCCGGTCAACTGTCCGGTCAGCTATGGCTGCCGGCTTCTCCTTCCCTCACCAACCTTCTTCCTCTCTTCACCTTCCTCACGTCCTTTCACCCTGCTGTCTTCTTTCTTTTTCCCTCTCTTTTTTTTTTTTTTGTTTTTTGTTCGTCTCTCCTTAACTTCACAGGTATGTGACAACCAAACTTGTATCGCTCATCTCTCTCTCTCTCTCTCTCTCTCTCTCTCTCTCTCTCTCTCTCTCTCTCTCTCTCTCTCTCTCTCTCTCTCTCTCTCTCTCTCTCTCTCTCTCTCTCTCTCTCTCTCTCTCTCTCTCTCTCTCTCTCTCTCTCTCTCTCTCTCTCTCTCTCTCGCCGTAGCGTTTTCTCCAGCGAAGCAGGTACGTAGTAACCCAATCGTGTATCGCTCAACCTTTCTCTCTCCCTCTCTCTCTCTCTTCGTCATGGTCTTCTTGCAGGTGCACGCGACTTCTTCAACCTCCAGGTCCGCTATGGCGGACTTCTTCTTCGTGGCCAACTTCGGCTATGGCGCAAGACTCTCCCTGCACACGACGGCGCACATGGAATAGCGGGTACCAGCTCTGATACCAATGCAATCAGACACGCTTTCATTCGCACTTTACATGCATGCAAACAGTAGCGCAGCAACTGGCGACATGCGCCCACTTAAAACTCAGAGATATGGCACTTTCAATGCCTATGGCGACTAAGCACCCAAACAACTCTCTGTTCGCATACACCGGATCACCCTGGATATCCCACATGCGACTCTCTGAACACTCACACCCACCCACACACTGAACCTCAACTACAGCTATGGCGGCTATGGACGCCACTATCCTATCGCTATGGCTAACTTCGTCTCTCTGCCCACTTCGTCCTCGGTCTCACTGCAGACCTCCTTGCACAAGTTGCTGTGGCAGCGCTTCCGCATGGCTAACGCAGGAATGAATGAATGGCTGGGCGCTGCCTCTTGATTTATACTTCTGCAGCTCGTTGGTCTGCCCTTTTCCATCGGCCCATGGTGGACACAGTCCCTCATGGTACTTGCTGGACTGGACTGGGACTGACTGGACTGCACCGCTGACTGCTTGGGGACTCACTGCTAACCTACTGAGGTCGTACTGCAATCGTACTGCAGTTAGTCCACCACTTGGCTCACCACTTGCCCACGTGCCGACCTTCTAGAAGACTACAGCTAAACTTCTAGACTTCACTAAGACTTCTATTCGACAGACCTACAGATCGAACCCCTACAACCTACGGACCTATGACAGCCTACCAGTTGCTTACAAGTACACAGGTCACATGTTCAACTCTCGGGGTCTACACAGGTACTGTACACGGTAGGGTAAGGACTAGGGATCGAGCCCTGGGATCTGCATCTGCTACTGCAAAAAGGTGAAAACCGTTTCAGTGGACTTGTTGTTGTTGTTGAGTCAGCAGTAAGAGCGAACTTCGGATATTGATTCTGGTTCATCCACTCATTGTTATTATAATTATTGGGAGAAGAATAAGATTGGCGAAGTGAAGCAGGAGGAGGAAGGTGGAGAGAGAAGGGGGAATTGTCATTGGTCTTGCTGGTGTACATCTTCTTCTTCTTCTTCTTCTTATTCTTCTTTCTCTCTCCTCTGGTCTCTATCTCTTTGCAAGTGCTTTCATTTCTTTCGCAATTGGGTGGCATTGTCTTTCATTGTGAATTTGCACTTTGGGAATGACCAGGATCGTAACAAATGAATAAATAAATGAATGAATGAATAAATGAATGCTGCCTCAAAACTGGACCTGCGTGGCACAGGCACTGTGCCTGGCCCCCTGGGATGGCCATGGCCCTCTCAAGGTCCTGCACAAAAGTAGGTGCACGTCCTGGAGGGCCTCACTAACCTTCAGGCCCCCAAAACAGGGCCTGTGTGGCTGGCGCAGCATCCCACAGTCATCCTCTTTCCTGTAGCACTTAGTGTTCGCTAAGAACCCACTAGAACTATGGCAAAACGAAGCCCTGGCAAGCTGTCACGTTATGTGAGAAGATAGGTCTGCCATGCTGATGCCCATGTGTGTATTTCCGTTGATGGATGTTCTAGTCGTGTTGAAGTCCCCACCGACAATCAGGGACCACAGCTTGCAGAGTATGTAGATTGCTCTCTCCCCTTGAATCCCCACACTCACTCATCACTTCTCATCCAACCAACTCAAAGCTCGTGTTGCTTACGCGTTAAAGCTCTAAGATAACTTGTGTCAGAAACTTGACAGGTTATCATTTGGGTATGAGAGGGTGTGTATTCAAATTTCAAAGTGAAGGGCAGAGAAGAGCACCCATGGAGGTCATCGCGACTCATCGGGCAGGGAAGATTTTGCAGAGCAATCACTGGCAAGAGCAGAGACCATAAAGCAGCATCGTAGTTTGCTGGAGGAAGAATGATAAAGGCGAGTGAAATAGGAAAATTTTTGGCAGTCCTTCGGGACACCCGTTAAAATTGGAATGATACAGAGAAAATAGAATGGCCCCTGCACAAGGATGAAACACATAAATTGAGAAATTGTCCAAATGGAAAAAGGAGAAATTGTGCAAACTACAAACGTTAAGAAACTCGCCCCCATACGGGATCACAAAGATCACGTGGAAAGTATACAAAAGGATCAGACCAGTCAAAATCAGAAGCCTTCAATGGCTGATAACATACGCAGCACTACCAGTCAATCAATGGCTTCATGTTAGGCGAAAGGGCTCCGTCCCTGATAGTTCTGATCAATGTAAGGTGTGTACGGAGAACGCTGTAGAGGATATAGTACACTGCCTAATCTACTGTAGGGAGGCGACGAACTACTGGGCGAGAGCATCGGCCCTCTGGGATTCCCTTTTCTCTACCCCTTTCCCTGAACAACCCATCCAGCTTCTCCTTCTGATTAACATCCCCGAACAGCCCCGGAAAGCGGAAAGGATTTGGTATGGACTCATCAGCAAGGTGACCCTATGGGTCATATGGAAGGAAAGATGCAGCAGAACGATTGAAGGTTTCTCCAGCGCACGTGAGATGATCTGGACGAAGACGAAAGTAATGATACAGGCAGAGATCCTGTGCAGATGGCGGAAGATAAAATTATCTTGGACGGAGGATGAAGAGCAGCAAAGGAAGGCTAGGCGGAGTTTCAACAGGACATGGCTGATAGACGGGAAAGTCGCTGAGATACGGAACGATCGCATCTATTGGAAGGAATGGCACAACTCTAACTCAGGAAGGAATGCCGGACAGCGAAGCGCAGCACACGGGCAAAGCACCCCCGGGAGAGAACTTTCGGACTCGGACCACCACACTCGGGGAGTAGCACTGGTAATACGCAAACGGGAGGCGAGAGCAAGGGAGAAGGGAGAAGGCTTAATGGGTTATGGGATATGGCGACGTAGGGGCAGAACCGAGGAAGGGAAAAGCACAGGCATAGAGAAATAACGGGCGGACTCTTTGAGGGGAAACAAGGAAAGGGCAGTTGGTGACCCACGGGCAGGGCTGAGGAGGGGGAAAGCACAGGCAAGCAGAAACAATGGGCGATTTCTTTCTAGGCGGCAATGGATTATCTGGCAGTGCTGTTTTTTCAGTTCTGAGAGGAAAGAGTGAGCCAGGGCAAGCTGACAGTCAATCCTCCACATATGGTGGAGTAATCAATGCTGTTCAGGGGTCCTCCGGCCAAACGGGAGGAAGCTTGAGTTTTTTGCTGTAATGTAATATATTTTCTGACTTGCCGGTGGAATAGGAACCGGACTGACGCTCCCCAGAATAGAAGGAGCCAGGACCATAAGGCCCTGCAAACAGTGCAGGAAGAAGCTTCCAGCGAGAAGTTCCTGCGTAATTTGTGGAATGATTGGATCTTCGGTCAGCAATATGAAAAATATTCAAGAAATGCAAGGATAGACAGGAAGTGAAGTATGAGGGCATTCTACCCTCTTCCCTGGGAACACTATATCTAGCCAGTGAGGTTTCTCAATGTGCATTCATTATGGCTGGGCACTGTGTCTGGGGAAGAAGGTGGGCATAATATCTTGCTCCCCAGTACACGAGCAGGGTGCACCGGTTAATGCGGCGGCCATTTCGTGGATGTCCGGGCCTGCCTGCCCCCAGTTAAATTCATTCATGATGAAAAGACTGTCAGAGGTCCTCGTAGCTGGGAAAAGTACTGGTGGTTTAAACCACCAGTCCGATGAACGAAATAAAAACCTGCCTGGGCTTCCCAGCCTGAAATGTCACTCATAGCGGATGACAGAGACTGTGATTGAAATATGCGATTGGTTTGGTGCAAATATTTTTTGTACGCAAAATGATTTTTCTTCATTTTTTAATTTTCCCTCCCTGATGTGGCGAATTCTAGTCTACATCCCTGATTCTTACTGGGCCTTTTCATGGCCAGAAATGAAAATTAAAAATTGGCAAAGCTGGGGTACTCGGAATTTTGCACAGCCCCCAGGCCGAGCCTTCATTTTCACAGCTGGTATACAAGCGTGTTTTCCAGGGTGGCAGGGTCTTGCGGTTTGAGGCCAAAGTTGTAGAGGAACCGAGGATAAACCTCAATGGTGGGTGGGTGGGGAAAGGAACAGGAACTGCATCCGTCATTTCTTGGTTAAAGCAACTGATCCCTGATGTGTTATGTGAAAAAGAAAAAGACGTGGAATAGTGGATCTGTCCCGAAAGGGAAATGGACGAAATGGTGATTAAATGCATCCATTGAAAATCTCCAGCAAGATTAGTGGCAAGTAGAACAAAATAGTTTGTGTTGATTCTTAATCAAAAGAACTGAGAACAAATGATATGCAAGTTTGCCTAACTGTAGCTGCTGATGACACCACTTCCCAGATTGCTCGCTAGTTTTAGTTTGGTAGGTATCGCCTTGGAGTTGGCTTCGCTTATGAGGGAGTATACTGCCGTCTGACTGATGTGGTTCTTTATTCTGTTTCAACAAGAGTGTAGAGATTTCTCTTTGACAGCCCCTGTACTCGTCGAGTCAAATTTGAACCCATGGGCAGAGCTGAACTAACTGTAACATCTGAGGCGCGAATTGAGCAGTGTTTTTCTTGTAGTCGTAAAGCTCTAGCTTCTGAGCTTGCCAGCATTCCCGTTCCATCTGTAATTCTCTGGCTGCTACAGGGGTTTATTTTAGCAACAGAGTTCTTTTAGAATCAGATTTTTCAGAGTGTCTGTATTGTCTGCCAGGGTTTTGACGTGACCTTCCAATTGATGTCTGAGGTTCGTATACTCATCCTAGGTGCAAATAGGTCTGTGCAGAGCTCCGCCTTGCATGGCATGAGGCCTCCTGGTGTCTGTGTGGAAGCTGACTGCTGCTTTCCTGCCCTCTTTACCACAAAAGAGGTGGAAGCAGTGGCTTGCTCCGAAGTAGCAGTATGGCCAAATGAAGCTTTTTCTGTGACAAGGCAGTGAGTGCACTGGACAACTGGCCCACTGATCTCTCCAGACTCCTGGATTGGTTCTATGCGAGCGAGCGACTGGTAAGGTCGACCCGAACCCTTTCGAAAACCATCTCTTTTGCAAAAGAAAACCCGAACTGGATAGGTAAGTGACAGAGATCTGTTTGCTCCTATCTTTTGAGTCATGTCCTAAGTGATTTCCTTCTCCTACCTACTCTACTGATGATGATGAGCGAATACCCAGCCGTTTCAACAGCTCACGGCCAGATTTGTGGTTCGAGTGTTCGCAGGATGCGTATACTTGTCGTCTCGTGCGTGCTGCTGCATGAACCTCTCAACACCTGCAGTCTACCTCAATCTTATACTACTCAGGAGTCAAGAGGGTTCGTCTGACAGGTATGTCCCCTTTCTTAACAAGGTTCTCTTTTCTCAGGGATCATATTCTGTTCTCCCAACATTCGTAGCATTCCCTGACTGACATTTTGTAAACCTGAAACCATGATCCAGAGTCAGAGAACCTGCAATCCTTATTATTATTCTGTTAAATAGACCAGAGTCAAACTTTTTACAGTTTGCGTATGTGGGCTGATTTGCCAGCCAGTAATCATAGCTGCATATGTTTCCCTGTCCGCGATTGATGTCTTTTTCGTCCCTATGCTTGACATTCCAGAACTAGACAGCTCTCCTCTGCAAGCTTTGCTTTGTGGCATATGTTGTGAATGCACAATGTGCATGCGATAGCAAGGGGTATTGGTTTACTAAAGATGTCAAATGAGGTTTGATGACAGCGCCCGGTTAGTGTGCAACTGGCGGATGGAGTGTTGCAAATGCAACAATTAATGTTGCAGTTCGTGACCCATGAGCCTTTTGCTTGAGAAATGTTTTTCAGAAATTCTAAGCGTGAAAAACCGCCATAGTCGCCTTCACCGCTCACTGGCAGCTAGTGGGACGACTCTTCCTCTGGCCAGTGTGTACTATTCTATCGCAGGCCTCCGTTGACATCTGGGGCAGTGGTGGCTTAAGATATAGAACGGGTGTAGTATTAGCATGCGTGTACACCAGTGTGTGCTTATCTTGCACTGCAGTCAGACAATGGAAGACAGAGGTAGAAATGAGTTCATTTTCACTTGAAGTGGTGCATCCCTGAGCCCTTGACAGATTCAAAAAATAAAAATTATTTGAATCGTTAATCTTCTTTTTTTGCAGTATTGCTTCCATGATATTAGGAGCATTAGCCGCAATGGCTCAAAACAAAGTCAAAAAACTTTTCTCGATTTATTTGTGTCATCTTTGTGCAGGGCCCATGCTTATCTTCTCTGTATCGCTCCATTGTTAATGGTGTCCTGAAGGACAGCCCTTCACAGAATCATACTTGTGATTCGTGAGGTAAAACGAAATGCATACAAAAGGACGTGTGGTCCAACTTTGAAGCATGAATGAGCAGCACAGTTGTCACACATCATTTTAGCTTGCCGTGTACTGATCTCCATACATGAAAAGGAACCGCACTCCAAGCAAACTGTTGACAGGATCACTTCAGTACATGGCATCTGCTGCCAGATTCACAGTTGATGCCTTTGATGACCGATCTTCTCTGTGGGATGTGTTCGTCTCCAGAAAAGACCTGGTCCTCTTAGTGCGATGTATGCGACCGGTAACACGAGACAAGATTTTTGTTCACAAGTCGAACCCTACCCAGATCCGATGATGGGAAATTGGTTATTTCCACATCGAAAAAAGGAATGGCTTCAGTTTTGCCATTCTCGGACGTAGCCATATTGAATGTTCCCTTGAAGCAATTGTAGCTTACCTACTTATTTGGAAAATATCAGCAAGGTTGCAATAACTTAGCAGGTGTCACAAGGCATTCGTTTTCTTGAGAACATGTATCTCTTTTCCCTTTTTTATTACACTTCCTGCTCCCCCTGCACCCCCCCCTTCCCTCACCCTACAGCAGGTACGTTATGAAGCAAATGTGGTTGAACTAATGGTTTTCGCTAGAAAATGAACACCTGAACCTAGTCTAGTTGTTGTCCTGAATGTGCCCTCATGATATTGTTTTCTTCTTTCCCCGCTCCAACCTCTCTCGGTTGATGAAGATCTTGGCACTTAGTGAACTGT